CCAGCTGTCAGAAGCAGGCTGTCGGCCGGCCAATGGCCGGCCGCTCGGCCAACTTCGGCTTTCAGCACGGCTCAGCCGAGCCGAGGCATATGCGATCGGCTCGACTGAGCCTCTCGGCCGTGATCGGGAGCTGTACGGGCTATTGTAAATAGCCCGTACAGCACCCCCTTCGTTCTCCTGAACCGAAGGGGTCCTGGGGCCGAAGCTAGCCAAAGGATCGGCCGAAGCTACGGCCAGATCCTTCGGCAGCTTTGTGAATAGACCCCATAGTGCTGTATTTATAAAAAAGTGGATCTGACATTCACCAAACATTCACTGCATGTGGATCTGCCAGGTGCATGTGTTTTAAATGACATTTATTTATTTATTTAATGTTTGGTAAAGGTCACATTCCCTGTTTTATAAATATGCCCCAAATATTATCTAAAAGAGTTATATACAAAGTAACTGTGCCAAAATAGGGGCAAGAATACACTTGAACACATCGTAACACATTTGCAACCTACAAATATGACAATATATCAGCAAGAAAGTCAACTACCAAACGCCTGGATGTCAAAGACCGATGAAACCAAAGGCCAATTTCTTGAAGGCCTTGTACGTCCTTTCTCAAGGCATTCTGACTCAGTTTTTTTTCTTTAAAGCAGTACTCCAGGATTTTGAAATGTTAACCCTTGCAGTGGGGCTACCTCGGCACTGTCAGCGTTATGTGCTCGTTTTGTCTAGAGGCGAAAATAAAGAAGATATACTCACATTTTCCTCAGTCTTGCCTCGCTACTAGACTGGTCCCTGCAGCCTCTTCTCCCCATCTGCTCCAACTGTCTAAGGACAGGTAACATCATCACATCTAATACAAGTCTATTAGACGTGAAGACGCCAAGGGACATACCACAGCGGGAGCGGAGGTGAGTGATCACTGCTGCACTACCGAGTATCAGGTATTTCTTCTTTATTTTCAACCCTAGAGAAACACAAGAAGTTAGCCCTTGCAGTGTGGGAGTAGCCCCATTGCAAGGGTTAACTTTTCAAAATCCTGGAGTTCTTCATGAAACTCATCAAGCCTACAATCATAGTGTTAATCTCTGGAAACAAATCGGTGGATTGCAGAAGAGTGCTGGTAGAACAATCTCTTAGCTGAAGCCTTTGCTGGATTCAGTGGTGTAGTTTAACACTGTACCCACTGCTCCAAACTAACATCCCCAGCCCCTCTTAACCTGCTCTGTAGCTAACATAACCACCTCATTCCTTCCTGTACCCAAAACCTCCAAACGTCATAACCTCCCCTCTGAAAATAATACCTCAACGGTTGAGGCTCAACCTCAATGACTTCTGGCACCTTGCACAATATGTCCTCTCTCCTGCAAGAAGAAATTGCAAATACAGCCACTGCTACCTCTGCCCCTACACCACTTGCTGAATTTCGGAACCATAACCGGGGGGGG